CAAAAAATTCGAAAAAAAAAAAAAACAAACAAAAAAAACCCACATAATTTGAAATAAAAAATGAAAAAATGTTGTAATACATGCCTGACAACAAATTATATTTTGAAGCAAGTTTTGCTCCATTCTTGATGTTACAAAAAGGCATTTACATGAAAACCAAAATAATGGTCAGATCCATGGCTGCTGTTTACGAAATCAGAATTTAAGGCATCATAGGTGGATTCTCAACAAGAACAGAGTACACGCTGTCTGCTTTATCACAATTGTGCATGTAAATTCAGTCGGTGATTTGAGATTATTTCTGCAGTCCCCATTCGCAGAAGTCACTGTGTGTGTGTGTGTGTGTGTGTAGCTGTAGATTAGCAGGCTGACTCGGAGTCAGAACCCTACAGTAATGGTCTGTACATAATGTCCTCTGCTCCTGCCCTTTATCTTTGCAGGATAGAGTTCACAAATGACTTTACAGCTCTTTAAACAACACCAGGCAGTATGCCTGTGTCAGGCCACTGGTAAGGTATCATTTACTTCAGTTTGACCCTGACACCCCCAACAGTCTCACCCTTCAGCCTCCCCCATCACCATGTGCTGACACACAGCGTGTAACATCAATATCTTCCCTTCCACTCACTTTCCTTATTCAGTGACAGTTCATGCCCTCACATGTTCAGTTACAGTAACAATTCACCCAGAAATAAATTCTGTCATGTGCTAGCCATGTTGTTTCAAACCTGTTTTAATTCATTTTTGCTTGTTTGTAAAATCAATATTTATTTACTTGTAAAGCCACAATTTAGAAATGGTTTCATTCATTCCTTTCTTTCATTCATTCATTATGTAAAGTCACTATGTATTTTATTTATTACGTGACTGTTTATTTAGTTGTAAAGTCTTTATTTATTTATTTATTTATTTATTTATAAAGCCACAATTTGTTTGTTTGAAAAGTCACAATTGTATTTATTTATTTGTAAAGTCACAATTTTATATTTATTTATTTACTTGTAAAGCCACAATTTATTTATATACTTCATTTATTTATTTGTAAAGTCACAATTAATTTGTTTGAAAAGTCACAATTGTATTTATTTATTTATTTATTTATTTGTAAAGTCACAATTTTATATTTATTTACTTCATTTATTTATTTGTAGTCACAATTTATTTGTTTGAAAAGTCACAATTGTATTTATTTATTTATTTGTAAAGTCACAGTTTTATATTTATTTATTTACTTGTAAAGCCACAATTTATTTGTTTGAAAAGTCACAATTGTATTTATTTATTTATTTATTTGCAAAGTCACAATTTTATATTTATTTGTGTATTTGTAAAGCCACAATTTATTTATTGACTTAATTTATTTATTTGTAGTCACAATTTATTTGTTTGAAAAGTCACAATTGTATTTATTTATTTGTAAAGTCACAGTTTTATATTTATTTATTTATTTATTTATTTGTAAAGTCACAATTTATTTGCTTGAAATGTCACAATTGTATTTATTTATTTGTAAAGTCACAATTTTATATTTATTTGTGTACTTGTAAAGCCACAATTTATTTATTGGCTTCATTTATTTATTTGTAAAGTCACAATTTATTTATATATTACATTTATTTATTTGTAAAGTCACAACTAATCAATTAATTGTCCTTTTGGCGCTTGGAGCTGTATAAATGAAAATCCACATGTCTTATGCGGAAAAGAGACGTTCGGACATTCTACCAAACATCGCTTTTTGTGTTCCACGAATGAAAGACAGTAATATGTGACATGAGAGTGAGCAAATAATGACAGAATGATCATTTTTGGGTGAACTACCCCATTAACACTGTGATCCAGCTGTTTCATTGTGTCTTCGATCACTGTGTCTTCTGCACATTATGGGCTAAATGACATGGGCCGGGGGACAGTCCAGTAGTCTCAACTTAAACTCCTGGTCTCCTCCTGGTCATATTATGGGCTGTGTACACAAAGCAGAGCGGCTACATGTGTTCTGCATCTCTCTGAGAGGCCCTGAAGCTCAAGGGATTCAGTATTATGACACATTACAGAAAGAAAACCAGGATAAAGCTCACAAATATAGGTCACTGAACAGATAAAGGTATATATATATTATGTGCATTATGGGTTGATTATATAGAGTAGTATTAATAGCTAGTCGGAAGACTTTCAATGGAGAACACTGAATGTTAAGCAAAATAATATTAAAAGCAAACAAAGTATAGCTTTTATTGTATATAACTATATGAAAGGAGTGTGTTAGTAATCATGCATTTGGACACTAAAGCCTGCACACTTAGAAATGTCTGAATGTCAATATTAGTGCAAGTGTCTGTTCATAAGTATTGTGACACTTTATGGTTGTGAAACGTTAGTGGACCATGTTGAGAAAAGTGAAGTTAGTGAAAAGGAAAGCTCCTGTGGCATTTGAGTGAATGTTTTGGTATTTTATCAAGATGATGCAAGACGCAATGGCTTTCAGACACTTGTAGATGTAGCTTAGGTGTCCAAATATATATTTTTTTGTACTACGTTGCATTTACTTCCATCTAATATGAAAAAGTTGTGCAATGATGCTGTGCATGAATGCAGCGAATCGTACATATCAGGGTGAGGCAAAATTCATATTTAAAGGGGTCATATGATGCTTTTTTAAAGATCATTATTTGGTGTATTTGGTGTAACAGAATATGTTGACATGCTTTAATGTTCAAAAAACACATTATTTTTCAAATACTGTACATTATTGTAGGTCCTCTATGCCCCGCCTCTCTCAAACGCTTCGTTTTCTACAAAGCCCC